CATCAACAGCCTAAGGAACCGAGCCTGGACCATTCTGTCCCTCTCCCTCCCACGCCCCACTCCCACCTGGGCCACATTCAGGAGTCTGGGTTAAACCTAGCTTGGTAATGAAGGGAAGTAAGCCTTTCCAGTGCCAAGTGTCAGATGCTAAGCAATGCCTAAAGGTATGTACGTATGGGATGATAAGGTCCTCAGATAAGCTACAGGGATGCAATGTACAACACGGGGAATGTATCCAACATCCTGTAATAACTGTAAATGGAAAGTAACATTTAAAATTGCATAAAAAGTAAAAATAAATAAAAGAAAGAAGGAAAGGGGAGAGAAAGTGACAGAGAGCAAATGGGAACGACAAAGAAGGGAAAGGAGGAAAATGAGTCCACAAAGTAATAGTAATGTGGAGGAGTGGCTGTGTGCCACCTACAATCCTCTGAGTGGCACTGACGCCATCTGTCACACAGCTCTGCTTCAAAGTGGCATCAGGAGCTGGTGAATGCATGTGCTAGCTCCAGAGAAAACACACAGCTCAGATTTAGAACCATGTTGCCTCCTACGGTCCCCTGGAGTGGGAATGAGTGGGAACCTACTTACTCAACCACGAGAAGTCTTGACCAAAGGACTTTAAAAGGCTTAGTAACAAAATTAAATCACTTGTGTCAATATAAGATGGTGTTTTTCCCTCCAACTCATTTAAAGACTTGAACATACACTATGTGCAAGGGCCCTGACTGAGGTTAATTTAAGAATACTTAGAAGATTCTTAAAGGAAGAGCCATGACAGTTGGGTTGAGCCTAATGCCTGGCACATGGTAGGCGCTCAGTAGACATGTGAAATTGAATTACAGAATGAATGAATATGAGAGAGATACAAAGAAGAATATTTTAACAAGAAGATGCCTGAATACTAAACACTGATTCCTTTTCAGCATGTTTCATGGCTTTCCTTCTGGGTCCTGAGGGTGCAAGGATGAGTGAGTGCTCCCTGTGCACACTCGCTAGTCGATCACACACACCAGAGTGCTGGTGAAAGGAAGATGTGGACAGGGCACAGTGATGAGATGGTAGACACTGTCCAGGAGATTCTGGAGAGGTGTCCACGTATGTGGGTTCTGAAGCTATCCAGGACATTTCACCAGGCAGACAAGACCATGGAAGACTGAACATATGGACAAAGGTATGAAAGAACCTATTGTGTCAGAGAGCTGCAGTACCTGGGTATGGCTGGGGCAAAAGGAAGGGGTGTGTGTGTGTGTGTGTGTGTGTAGAAGGGTGAAAAAGGTGGTGGTTTAAGGAAGGCAGAGGCCTTGTTGAAAGATAACACACACAAGATAGAGAGCCCTGAATGTCTCTGATAACCACCAGCTTTTGCTGGCCACCAAAGGCTTTAGAGTGTCTTCTATACGACCAACCACTGACGAGAGTGGGTTTCACTTAATTAAATCTTCCTGGGAAGATGAAACCCCGTACATACAAGCTGTTGCTTTTTGGGGAGTGAGTGAGTATCCCCATGCCTACTTAGGGCCTCCTAGCTGATGGGAGAGGGCTATGATCTCTGATCTTCTAAGCACCTCATGGTGCTCATGTGGTTTCTGGTCTGTATTCCTCTCTGCTGTGAGCTACCTCAGGGCAAAATCTCCCTGTTCTTTGAGCAGACTGAGAACAATAGACCTTTTCTGGAAGGTTGGATGGATAGATGGACAGACGGACTAGCAGATGTTCAGAGTCCCATAAAAACCCTTAAGCCCTACCACTCTCTCCTAAAAGGACAAAATTCATATTTACCATGACTACTTATTTATTATTAAACTTGCAGGTCTCCCATAGGCATAGAGTCCAGAAAAAATCAGTTGGAATAAAGAGACGAGGCTGGAGCCCCCAGAGAACTCAGCAGGAAGCCAGAACAGGGCTTACCAGAAGGGCGGCGCGCACAGGCTCTGAGGCCTGGGAGGAAGGACGGGCTGGGAGCCTCTGCCGTCGCTCAGGCCCTCGGGCCCCCAGAGGTGCCCACAGAAACGAGCCTGGTGCTGGAACACCACAGCACTTCTGCTGCAGAGTGCCTTGGAGGCCAAGGGATTTGATGGAGCCCAAAGCAGAGCAGATAAAAGGCAATTCTGTTCCCACAGCTGGGCTCTTGCCACCCTGAGGCTCCCTGGGGATGTACTCGTGGCATTTGGATGTTTCTCTCACAAAGGCCTGAAGAGAGAAAAACAGCCACTCAACATCTAATAAATTATCCACCGTGTCACTGCTTCTGCTGGCCTTGCTCTGACACTTCTCCCCTTTTGACTGTAGATAAAAACCATCCTCTAGTTGCTTAGATCATCTTGCTCATGGAGCTACAGTAATAATAAAAAGCTCTCGTTCGTTTGTTGTTGTTTGTTCAGAACGTTGATTTAAGCCAAACTATGCCTCAGTTAGGGCAGGATTCTGTTCTGAAGAGCAGGACCTCCCTGCCCCCCTCCATGAGGCTTCTCTCTTGGCCTGAGGCTGCACCTGACCTCCAGGAGGTCACTTGTCAGCCCCCGTTTATAATCTAAGCCCCAAACAGGGCCCAAAAGTGGGGTCTTTGTGTGTCTGGGGGCCATGAGCCACCAGTGGATGAAGAATAATTTCAGGAAGACAGTGGGTGGATCCAGGTCCCAACCCCATTAACAAGTGGATTTCCCTGGAATTCAGACAGACCTTGGACCCTGTGTGTCATGATCTCTTTTTTCAAGGCACAGAACTGAAGGGCAGGAAAATATGATAACTCATGGACGTAATTAAATAGTATTCATTAGCCAACCCCTATTCATTGCTTGGTGCTGGATGTTCTACAGTCTTTGAGAAGCTTATTTCCTACAACAGGAGTACAGATTATAGATGGAAAGTGCCGTGAATACACAGAATATATGGAAATATGAGGCAGTGGTGTGAAGCAGACATAGCAATCAGCATCGATTCTCAGAGCAGCAGTCATGTGCAGAAAGCTGGAGAGAAATACCTGGTGTGAGCTGGACATCAGGCCTGGAGGTCTCAGTTGCTTACATTATTCCTTAATTCATTTGTTCATACTCTACGCACCGAGGACCTACTGAGTAACAAGTACCAAATGAGGCACAGAGAGTGGAAAGGAAAGGATAAACCACTGCCCATGGCTTTGAGGAGTTTGTACTCTGGAGACAATGAATGAAAGTAGGAATTTACTAGATAATTAGAGTCCAGCGGTACATAGAGGGTAGGAAGTACCAGGGAAGCGTCGAGGAAAGACGGATGGACTCATCTTGAGGAGATGGGACCCAGATTTGCATGGACCTGGAAGGCTTGCTGAGGGCACTTCTGGCCTGGAAGCTGGGAGGGCAAGGGGCAGTGAAAGGAACGTGAAACAGTTCTGTGCTGCCAAACAATACATGGAGGGAGGCAGAGTGATGGGTGTGGCGGGAGAGAGGCTGGGGCTAGTTCTGGAGGCTTCTGAGTATTCTGTGAAGGACGTGGGCTTTTCCATCAAAGGCTTTACGTGGGGACAGGACATGAAGAGACTCACTCTGGCCAGCGTGTGTGTGTGTGTTGGCAGGGGGATGGTGGATGGGAGGAGGAAAGGCAGGAAGCAGAGACCAGTGAGGCAGTGGCAGAATTAGTTGGCCTGGAAGGGCAGCTTTCAGAGACGCGTGAGATGGGGTCTCGTCCACCCTCACAGTTCTTTTTTTTCTCTTTTCAGTGCCTTTGGGGCATGATTACACACAGCTGTTTTATAATTTGATTCTATTAATCTGCTTATTCTGGAAGTCATTCCCCACATTTTTCCTGGGCCCTGAAATCTGGCCTCTATTTCTGAATTGTTAGGGTGCATATTTTCTGTCCTTGTTGGGGGACGAGAGATCCCTGGGTACACACTCAGGTTAATGGATGTTTCATGTCATGGGTTGGCCTCAACTTGAAGCCCTTCCTTTATGATCTAAATAATTAATTTATATTTTCTCCTTTCAAGTTGATAAACTCTCATCTGAAGCTAGAGTTATTTATGTGAGGACCTGGCTTTTTCCCTACTTTATCAAGAGTGTTTATAAACCAGGGGTCAAGTCTCAGCCGGCCTATGAACACAAAGCTATTGAACACCTGCTGTTTACACTTCACATCACAATTCCAGGGTGTGTTCCAAGAAAGAGTCTGAATATTGTTCAGTGGCCAAAGAAAGGTTCAGGCCAAGTGTTCTTAGCACTAAGCAGCTCCTACCTGGTGCTGAACTCGGCCAACCCTGGGCTCAGGGTGAACATCTGTCCTCCGGAGTATTGCCCGTTTGCTTGGAGTAACTCTGATGACTCAGCATCGTCAGACTCCACACACACAAATACATGCCTCTGG